AAATCGAAGACGACTATTAGACCTATGATTATTAGAGCGTTCAACGCATTCTGCCATCTTCTTTTATCAAAAAAAGTAAAGTAAAAGAAATACGAGAAGTTTGATTCGCAAGGTAAGGGATAGCAAACAACTTAATTGACATATTATAAGATAAAATATTATTTTTTAACCAAAATTTTTTTCAACTTAACTGAAATTTTAAGTTATAATATGTCGACTAAATCAAGTCCAATTTCTTAAAACCCTCCCCCTCCATTTTCTTTTTTTTTTTAAAAAAAAAAAGAAAAAAACTTGCAAGAACCGGATCAACCATGAACCGGCCTGGAATCGGTGGGCCTGATCCGGCCTGGAATCGGTGGGCCGGTTTTAAACCGTGAACTGTCGGTTCATTGAAACAAACTATGTATATTATTGGGCCGATTCTGGTTCACCAAAAAAGCAGTTCGAAATTGAAAAATGGCCACGTCTACGTTTTGGTGGCATATCTTTATTTCTTCCAACTAGTGCAAACCCCCCACAATTACTTTTAATTAATTAAGCTTTAAAAGAAGGAACATATGTTTATTATTATGAAGCTTCAACGGCCTCTCATTCTGCGGTCTGTGTATTTAGATTACATAAATAAATGTGGAGCATATAATATGGCAGATTCTTGTAAGGAACATCAAAAGGCATTGGAAATTTTTGAAACATTTGAATGGTCAAGCCCATTATTGTTCCATGGGTTATAAAAATCAATATGCAAGACATGGCATTATTTAAAAAATTTGAGCATGTTATATATATATATTCATTGCCAACAATAAGTCTTAGGTATTTAACCTAAGTTACCTAAGTACCTAATTAACTAAACAAACCAAGTATTTTAAAAAAAAAAAATGGAAGACACAAATGCTGATGTTAATAATTTAATAAATTGTGTTAGTTAGTCTACTTTTTTTGCAAAAAAATGCATGTTTATATTATGAAATGTACAATTTTTATTTATATATAATATATTTCAAAATATGAATTTTAAATATAAAAATATTTATATTTATTGGAATATTACCATCGTCTAACCATTGGCCAGTTGAACATACCGTTTAAATGATAATTCAGATGATCTATTAATATTAGGGTAGTTTCCTAAAATTCTAATAACCTAAAGACATGACTTTCAAAGGTTTACCATGATATATCTAACAATACTCAATTTGTGTGGTATGTAATATCAGCTACATTAATAGAGTTGCCAAGACTTTTTTCCCACATAAATAACTTTTGTGCTCATATAGAAAAACCTATCAAATTATTTATATAGACTTTGACCTTGCAAATAGTAAAATTAGTCTTTCACACAGAACATTGAATGTGTAGGCTAGTTTTCGCCAAAAGTGAAAAATAAACATCTAAAAGAAATGTATTATATTGGTTACCTAATTTTAAATGTGAAATCCTAAACAAAATTAGTGACATGCTATTGAACTTTGTCATTAGAGCATTTACACTAAAAGGGGGAAAATATATTGTCAAAGAATATTGGAATATCTAGCCTTTAAGCAACCTTTGTTCCAAGTAATTCTAAAACTCCCTCTCTTTTTTTTTTCCACAAAGCCAAAAAAAAGAGGCTCATATCACAATTGTTCCATCTTAAACTTGTTCTTATTGATCATT